CGCGCTCGTTCTTCTCCGCCTCGGTGATGCGCTTCTCCTCCTGGCGGTCGTCCAGGATGCCCTCGCTCGGCAGCTCGGCGCTGTAGCCCCCCGACTCCGCGCCCCCCTCCTGCGGGTCCTCCTGCACGAGGTAGTTGCCCGGCTCGTACACGGGGGGCGGCGGGGGCGGGGGCGCCGTCATCACCAGCTGCAGCTCCTCCTTGGTCTTCACCAGGTCCTCCTGGGCTTCTTTGGCCTTGGGAGCGGATCAACGCCAGTGAGAAGCGCAGAAGCGCGAGGCCATGGTCTTACCACTCACCGCCTCCTGGTGGCCGGGCACCCCGAACGGAGGCGGGCCAGGCCGGCCCGGGCCCCGCAGGGCCGCAGACCCCTCCGGCCGGGCCTGGAACAGTGAACTTCCCGGACCTGCCCAAGGTCGTTATTGTATGTTTTTGAAGAAAGGAGGCGACAAAATCCCTCAGACCACTACACTGTTGTGCTGTGTGGCTTTCTTCACCCCCACCGGCCTGACCCCAGCCCCCCAAGCCTTCCAGCAACTTCTCCCACTCAACCCTGCCGCCTGCATGGCTGCCCGAGCCTGGCTTGAACCTGGGCTGCCTGTGGTTACTTCTTACGGGGAAATCTTTCTCCAAAAACCCTCAGGACTCGAGTCTAGACCAGCTGGGCTGGGGGCGAGGGCGGAGCCGGGGGGAGGTGCAGACCCCGCACCCTGAAGGCAGAGCCGGCTGCTGAGCCCACCGAGGTTCTCACACTCATTGCCGCCGCCCGTTAGACCTCTCGTGGGGTCCTCCTCCAAGTGGGGTACCACTTCTAGCCTGCCGCAAGGAGCGGGAGGCGCCTCCCACAGTCATACAGCCGCGAAGGCTCTGACTGGGCCCGGGCGCCCCCGGGCCTGGGCCTCCCTCGGGCAGGGAGCTTGCAAGGAGGCGCCCGGCCGCTGTTGAGTGCACCGCACGTTGGATTTACAGCTGACGGGGCTGCTGACCGAGCAAGCCCAGCGGCTAGAGCAGTGGGTGGACGTGAGCAGGAGGCCCTGCCCCCCGCTGCTCCCAAGTGGGCCAGCCCGTTGCTATGGGGGTTTCTGCCCACGCACAGCTGGTCTCGGCGGGGGCTGACGCCCCGCGACTCCGCCGCGCCCCAGCCCTGCCGCCCTCCCGCCTGCCGGCCGCAGCCCAGTCCTCACCCGGTGCTGCCACTCCTCCACCTCGTCCTCCTTGCGCCTGCGGGCCTCCTCCAGGAGGGCGATCTTGGCCGTGTACTCAGCGAGCTCCGCGGCCTGGGGCGGACAGCGAAGCTGCAGTCATTCGGGAATCTTTCCACGGGGTTCCCTTGTGACCGAACTGTCGCATTTCGCCAAGGGACCCTCCCCTGCCTGCCACCAGCAGCGTCCATCGGCCCAGAGGGCCCGAGACCTGGCTACACCACCAAGTGCACCTCCCTGTCCCAGCAGCCCCTCCCGCGCCCACTGGGCGGATCACTTTACCGCCCGGAGGCCGTTACTATAAGGGGGTGTCACGTTTTCGCCCCCCAGGGGGCCTCCATAATTCAGCACCGCCACTCCGGCCTCCTACCAGCTGCTCCTGGCTCTTTATCTGATCCACCGTCTGGCGCTCCAGCTCCTCCTTCGCACGCAGCGCGGCCATGCGGTCGGCCTCCAGGCGCTCGGCCTCCTCCTGGGCCCGCTTCCTCTCCTCCTCCAGCTGCAGGGCCCTCTGAATCTGGTCCGAGAGCTCTGCAGGGCACAGGACTGGAGCTGCCCCACGCCTCTGGCCAGGGGCCTGCAGTCCCCCCCCCCCCCGAGCCCGGCTGCCCCGGGTCTGACCAGGACTCGACTCTGTGAGGGTGTGGGAGCCGCACTGGACTAAGGGTGTGGGAGCCGCACTGGACCTTCCCAGGCTAAGGGACCAGTGGACAGGCCCTTCAACGCTGCCCGGCGAGTCTCCATCGCAGGGCAAACAGGCGGCAGCGGCCGTGCTGCGGCGACCGCTGGACACGGCTTTTGGTCTCGCGGGCCAGCGTGGGCTGACGGCCTGCGCGGACTCACCTAGGGCCAGGTGCTGAGTCCCCGAGCCCCGCAGTCAGAGGGCAAGAACGCTCTTGACTTGCACGGTATTTCTGATCTGCAATACTGCTGGTGGGTTAGTGGGGCCCCATGGGGGTAGGGAGCACCCACCTTTCTCCGCCTTCTTGGTCTTCTGCTCGTAGTCCTGCAGCCGCATCATCAGCGCCTCCTTCTCCCGCAGCATCTGCTCCTTCTCCTGCTCCACAGTCTCCCTCCGCTTCTTCTCAAGCTCCAGCTGCTGCCTGTTGGGGGGAGGCAGGTGAGTGCCCCTTGCGGGTCTGTGACCCCCGTGCCCGGGCAGCCCCGTGAGGGTGTCCCGGGCGAACCCTGCCAGCCGCAGGCTTTTGCTTTATGGGGCCGGTCCCTTGCACAACGGGTGTGTTTTCTCCCCATTTCTCTCTCCCAGCACTTTAAACTGCTCCAAGGTTCTAAACTCCCTACAAAGGGTGAGCCCTGAAACCCTGCACCCCCACGTGACCGTATGAAAGCAGGACCCCAGGCCAGCACGCCCGCTCACGCAGGCTCTCTCCAGAGACCTCACGGGTGACCGGGGCCTGTAGGTCACAGGCCTCCTCCCACCTCCCTGAGGTCACGCTGACCGGCCCCTGGCCGGATCGACAGGGCGGCCCGACCGCTGCGCCGAGGCCTGACAGGCAGAG